TGTAACGTTGATTATAAGGAAAGACAATGTTAGTGCTCATATGAGGAGCGAAAATGCAAAATAATTAGTGTTAATGTATAATGGGTCTCATGACTAGCTTGAAGATATGGTTTCATTTTTTTTTTTTTTGTTGGAATTATATATTTATCACTTGTGTTGCTTATATATGTTTCCAAAATCATATATGCAAACTCCAAATTTCTAAATACGTAGAGAAAGTTAGTCAAGTCTAGATAGTAGATGATATGCAGATGGAAGAGTTACATTCGTGATGAAGTTGTGTAGGTGCACTCTGCGTTACGCTACGTACCATTCAACAATCAATCAAGTGTTCATTTGTGTGATCCCCCCCAAACTTAGAAATTAAGGGAAACAAAAAACTCCGAGTCATGCATGAGTTATAATCATTGATCAACATGTGTGGGTTTTTTTTCTCATGTTCCACCAATTTTTCTGTTCTTTTTTAGGTAAACCGGATCGAGAGAAGAACATATACTGATTGAGACATTAATGATATGTTAACAATGTGTGATTAGCAAACGTTGATCATTTGAAACTCGTACTACGTGACCTTTAACGAAAGCTAATTGCATCATTACAATTGCTTTTGAGTAATATGTAACTACTAAATTGAGTCAAGCAAATGATACGTTTATAATGTGGTTTAAACCTATCTGTAATCCGGTGCTTTATCATTTGCTTATAATTTATTTGCTAAATAATTACTTTTATTTTTCTATATAAAGGAACTTTCGTTTATTCTTACTTTATTATAAAAAAATTGAAGATAAAATATATATTGTGTATCATTAGTTGCTTTAAAAAAAAATTCTTGGTGCGATAGTGATGAGTCTATGATTTTGAAGATTGTATACATTATTTAACAGTTTAATATATTGATATTTACAATCCGTTCAGGTATAATATAATTATGACTCATGATTTTTAGTTTAGGTATAACAGTTCATTTTATTTGATTGAAGTCGACGATTTCTAAAATAGTTTTCTCTTCATTTAGAAATATACATAAAACGT